TTTTATCCAAATATGATCACTTTTTTTATGGTTTCTAAATCCAATTTTTAAGTATTTAGTATTGCCAAAGCCTTTTACTGCACTCGAGTTGCAATAACAACAATTGATCTGAAAAATATAATTCTCCAACGCCAAGTGATTGATTTTGAATTTTAAATCAAGCAATCGAATAATTTTTGTCTAACTGAATCAACAAAAAAAAAAGTTGCTTTCGCCAATTTTTAATTATTCAAAAAGCGAGTTGAAGTAATGCATTTCGGAGTCTTTTTCGTGCTGTTCCTGGCTGGTGCCGCCACTTTGGGAGTGATTGGCATAGTCCTGGCCAACGTGATGACCGGAATGGGTGAGCGGATGGGCATCGGCTGGTTCCTGTACACCTCGAATCCCTTTCTGTGGTCGGGACTGGGAATATTTCTCGCCTGCGCCCTGTCTGTTCTGGGCGCTGCCATTGGGATTTACATGATTGGCTGCAGCGTGGCGGGCGGTGGAGTACGATCGCCCCGCATCAAGACCAAGAACCTGATCTCGGTCATTTTCTGCGAGGCGGTGGCCATCTACGGCCTGATCACAGCCATCCTGCTCTCCGGAAGTGTGCAGCAGTACAGCTGCGTGCGACTGATCACCGACAGGACGGTGATAGCGACCAATATGTTCACCGGATTTGCTGTCTTCGGCGCAGGTCTCTGCGCGGGACTGGTGAACGTGACCTGCGGCGTGGCCGTGGGCGTTGTGGGTTCCGGCGCTGCCCTGGCGGATGCAGCCAACTCGGCACTCTTTGTCAAGATCCTCATCGTGGAGATCTTTGGCTCGGCCATCGGTCTGTTTGGCCTGATCGTGGCCATCTACATGACCTCGAAGGCAGAGATGATTAACTAAGCCATTACAATAAAGATCTTAAAATTGAAAAGCTAACATTTATTCGGTAACTAAAACTAATCCTCCGCATCGTCATCGTCACTGTCATCTGCTGCATCGTTGTTGTCCTTCTCGTCATCGTCGCTCTCCTCGTCCCAGTGCTTGATTTTCTTGTTGGTCATGAAGTCCTCGCGCAGCACATTCCATTCGGACTTCTTTTTGCCACTGGAACCCTCATCCTCGTCGTCATCCTCATCCTCATCAGTTTCTTGCTCCTCTTTCTTAACGGCATTGTCAATGGCTGTGGATTTGGCCCGCTTGCCGCTCATCAGAACATCGAGGAACTTGCGCTTGTTGATATTGTTGAGCACTGCATCCTGCCGGCTGTCCAGCGGACCCGCATCTTCCAGCTGCTGCTGCAGATCCTTCTGCTGGATGCGCACGGCGTTGAAGAACTGCACCACGCCGCGGGTGGCCACTTTGCGAAGCGTTCGCTCGCGTTCCATGTCCCGGAAACTGGGCTTGACCCGCAGCTGGAGGGGCACGTTCTTGCGCTGCTGTTTGGTCAGCGTGGCATCCAACGCAGAGGCCTCTGGCTTCTCATCCTCGTCGTCATCGTCCTCCTCCTTAACCTCTGTTTTCTCGATTTCAAAGTCGAATCCTGGCTTCTTTGCGGCCGCGCTTTTCTGGAACCGCACTGCTGCTTGGCTGCTTTTGGCACGAGCTAGCACGGTTTTGTTTTGGGTCTCCGGCTTGGTGGTCTTCAGTACCTTCAGGATGGAATCCGCCCAGCCGGCGTTGCCCTCCGCCTCGCTACCGCTGCCGGAATTCTGACTGTCCTCGGCGTCTGATTCTTCCGGGGAACTGTCGGCTGCCGGAGCAGGCTTTTTTTTCGGACGCTTCTCTGTTAAAAGAGCCATTCTATGTGAGCAAACAAGTGGATCCAATTATAAAGAAAACAAATCGCGCACGTTTTTAGTGATGGGAAAGTGGTCCAACCTGCGGAACTATCGATAACAAAAATATAGTGACCTAAGATTTGTAAATAGCCAACAAATGTTGTGCAGTAAACATTTTTTTAACCAATGGCATCAATATTCTACCAAAATTATACAAAATGTACCTATTATTTATAAGGACATGTTAAATTGTTGATATATAGATTATGAAGGACTTAAAAACCTTACAAGAAAAACAAAATTACAAGTCTCACCCAAATTAGTACACTTTACAAAATAAATTAGAATATATTAGATATGTATTAGATTTCTAGCAGAAGCAACACATTTTGAATGCAAGGCCAAAAACACATAAATATTAAGCTTTTTAGTGCATAATTCTTATTATTATATATATTTTTTAAGTTTGAAAGCAAACAAAATCTTTGTTCAGAGAGAGCACTGTACCTCCACAAAGTTCGATAGTCACAACACCGATAGTGCCAACTTTTATTTGTTGTGGCGCCAATATCTGGCCACACTAAATGTGCGGCTGCAGTTTTCTGTGTAAAAAATTATTATTTATTTATTTGTAAAAATGGACCTGAACGCGCTGCTGCAGCGAGCCCAGAACCTGACCAAGGAGGCCAAAGCGGAGTGCGAGCTGCCCGCCGTGGAGCGGACGCTTCAGCAGGTGCTGCAAGCCACCACAGAGCTCCATTCCCGCGTCACCCAAACCGGCGGCAAAGAGATCCAAGCGTGAGTAAACGAGTCTCAATTAAATTTAAGCCAGAGCTCATGGTATATCATCTTCTTCAGGCACATACTGCTGGGATCCAAGGGCGTGGACCTGCCCAAACTGAACCAGAAACTGGAGGCGCTGAGTGCCCGAAAAACTTTCGAGCCACTGGACGTAAAGGCGGACACGGATGTGCGCACCTTTCTGAAGAACGAGCGCGAGAACGCCATCCTCTCGGTGATCGAGGACACCAACAAGAATGTGAGTTAGCAACCGGAAGACGAAGGTCAGCGATAGCTTACATCTCCCTGCATCCCCAGATCAACGACTCTGTGAGCAAACAGAAGTGGGCCAGCATGAACAGTGCCTGGAATGAGGAGAAGACGCGTCTACTGGACGCACTGATAGCGCCATCGCAGAATTTTATCGACCTGCAGCGGCTGCCTGAACCCACCATCCTGAATCCGCACTGCCAACCGCGGTCCTGCCTTGATCCCCTGGAACTGATCTATGCCCAGGAGCTGCGGCACTACAACGAACTGCTGCTGAAGGGCAGCAACCGGCCCAATCTCGTGCAGAAGTTTGCCCAGCTATCCCAGAGCTTCGGTGACGCTCGACTGATGGACATGTGGACCCTGCTGGCCTGCGTCACCCAAATAAGCGAGCCTCTGCACTGCGATCCCATCAAGAGCCGACAGCAGCGGCCAGATTTTGTTAACCACGCCAAATCGTACCTGGAGCGACGCTACCGGATGTTCATGTGCTCCCAGGTGGGTGGATCCTATGCCAGCAATAGCTATCAATTGGTCCTGGCCTACGTGAGTCGACGGTTTAGTGCCCAGCAGACCATCGGACTGGTGGACACAGTGGGCGAAAGGCCGTTGTGGCCGCTAGTCTACTACGGATTGCGCTGTGGATCGGCCGAAACGGCGGTGGAGTTCCTGCGCGAAGCAGGCAGTAGCCATGAGGAGTTCGCCCAGCTGGTGGCTGATCGAATCTCCGGCGAGATAAATTCGCGCATTGAAAACCAGCTTAAGCTGCAGTATGCCAACAAGATACGCAACTCGACGGATGCCTACAAGAAGGCCGTCTACTGCATCCTTCTGGGCTGCGATGTCAATGAAGTTCATGGAGAGGTGGCCAAGACCATTGACGACTTTCTGTGGATTCGGCTGGCCATGCTACAGCCCGGCGACGCCGCCAACTATGGAAAGTTGCAGTCGCTGATTCTGGAGAAGTACGGCGAGAAATACTTCAATGCCGGCCAGCAGCCGCATCTCTACTTCGAGACACTGGCCCTCACGGGACAGTTTGAGGCAGCCATCGAGTTCCTGGCCCGCCGGGACGACACACGCGTCCATGCCGTCCACATGGCCATAGCACTGCACGAACTGGGTCTTCTGGGCGGTGCGCGCAGTGTGTCCCAGCCACTGCTATCGATTGACATTAAGGATCCGCAGCCACTGCGACGCCTCAACCTGACGCGCCTAATCCGGCAATATGTGCAGAGATTCGAGCGCACGGACACCTCGGAGGCGTTGCATTACTACTACACGCTGCGCTGCCTGAAAGATCCCAAGGGCAGGAACATGTTCATGTCATGCGTGTGCGATGTGGTGGTGGACAGTGGAGTCTTTGACACGACCATATTCGATCTGATATTCGGCCAGCGGCAGGCGAGTGACCAAGATGAGGTTAACAGGTAAAGGGCTAAGCTTTATTTTCACTTGAATCAGTCTTAAGTTAAAGTCTCTTGCACTTTCAGTGGCTTGTTCGGCCAGTTCGACTGCCCGGAGTTCGACACACGCACCATGGCCGCTCTGGTGGCCGACGAACTGGCCTCACTCGGCAACTTTGAGATCTCGGCGCGACTTTACGAAATGGCCGGCAAATATAACCTCGCCCTGAAGCACATCTGCATTCTGCTGGCCCAGGTGGTGCATCTGCCCGCGCTTGGTGGATCGTTAAGGGAGCGCCTCGGCCAGGAGGCCCAGAGATTCTCCCAACTGCTGGCCAGCGACAGCATCGAGTTGGAGCCCAAAATGAAGAGCAGTTTTGTGCTGCTGCAGGACCTGCTTAGCTTCTTTAACTTCTATCATGAAGGGCAACTGAGTGGCGCACTGGAGGTGCTTCGGCGGACCCAATTGATGCCCAACACGACGAACGATGTGGATGTGTGTCTGGCCAATGTGAAGCGACTCAGCGGGGAGGTGATCAAGGTGCTGCCCGACGTTATTGTGGCCGCCATGGACATTGCCCAGCGGCAGTATAAGCAGCTGAAAACGGATGTGGGCAGCTCGATGGACCAGAGCGAGCTGCAAGAGCTCCGGCAGCGAGCCAAAGCCCTGTCCAACATGGCCGCCACCATGCCATATCGCCTGCCCAACGACACCAACAGGCGGCTGATTCAACTGGAACTGGTGATGCACTAGAATAAAGGTCCTTAAGGTATGCAGAGAAGTTGATATCTACTTCATAAGCATGAAAATGTACTCTTCCTCCTCGTCGCTGTCTGTGGTAGCCTGTGGCCCTTCCTCAAGCTGCTGAATTCGCTGGAGAGCAGCTGCCAACTGCTGTTTAAGATTCATGCAGTTCAAACAGGACTCAAGTAATCCACTCTCCTTTGAGTTCTCCTCGTCGATGCCAGAATCATCGTTTTTAGAACACAATTTCCTGCGCTTAGAATGCAATTGCTCAGAGTTGATACCCTTTCCCAGGGGATCTTCACCCTCCAATCCCAAATGTAGTTCTGGAATTGCGTTCCTTTTGAGATTTCCCTTGCTATTGGGCAGAAAACTGCGGCGGAAGTGTCGGCCGCAGATGAAAAGCCACTTGTTGTCCACCTTCAGGCGACAGATGTCCATCCACTCCTTTCGCAGCTCGGGATCCGTGGGAAAGAAGTGCAATCTTTCTGGCGGAGATTGTGAGAGGCAATTTCTGACGCTACATTTGCGAGCAAAGGCTTTCTTTTTGGGTTTTCTGCTCTGGTGCGTTACCTCTTTTTCACCTGAAAAGGGTGGGGATAATGGTTTCAATAGCTAGTTAAGGTTATTTCCATGGCTCACTTACCCAAAAAGAGCGTAGGAAGGGCCCAGGAAAACACTTTGGCCTTGCCAAAACAATGCGGCTCAAAATGACGCCTACACACCCGACTGTTGTACAAATTAATGTCTTTCCGTAGGCCAATGTTCTCCATCCACTTCAGCCTAATAACCGGATTTATGGGAAACTTGAACATGGAGCTACTATCCTGCTGGCCACTCTCATGGCAGTTGGTCACGATGCAGCGGAGATTTTGGTTTTTCATTTTTTTCGGCAGTGCCCTTTTTGGGTGAAATGATGGCAGGTGAAATGGAGAAAGCAACAAGTGTTGGTAGGCGTTACAAAACGTAGATTTGGGTCAAGAACGGACTGATCATATGGGCAGGAAGAGCAAAGGAAGTAAGATTTAGCAACCAAAAGTTAAAACACAAGAAATAAATTAAACTAAACGTATATGCATTTTCGTTTAAATCTTCAGCAATCACAATTTGAATTTTTAAATATTGTGTTGTGGCTCAACAGAAAATGTTTAAGCAATCAAACGCTTTAATATGGTCACACTGTCAACTAGGTTTAAACCTTTGATAAGAATGGGCGCGTTTCCCAGAACATATTGTCATTGATCAAGTTTATTTTAAGAAAACCCGAACAATGTTTAAATGAATTGTAAGGAAAATGTTCTGTTAAAAATATAAGTTGAACCAAAAAATCGTGTTTTGATGAAATTACCCGATTTTGATAAAATTACTTTGTGCTCAAACGGTATAAAAGCCACTTGGCAAAAATCAAACGAGATACAAACAATTTTGTCAAATTTTACCCGATCGTTTCTATGGCTGCTATATGATATAGTCGTCTGATCGGTAGGATTTTTTACATGATCAATTTAACGCGTCGAAATTCAGATTTTTTTTTTGTTTTTAATGGAACAGTAAAATTAACAATTGCTAAACTTGAAGGATAATTTATTTATAATAATTACAGTTTTTATCAATATTTATCTGTATTAATTTAGACACAAATAAAATAATCCTGGCCGAGTGTTCATTCAACACTCTGTGTTCCGCACTCCACGTTTCTAAATCAACGCTAAGCTCATTAGTTGCCGCTATCTTAGCATTGTTTATTTAATTGCATTTTGTAAACCAGACAAAGAATTCTTTGTCAGAAATCGCCTGGAAATGAGCTCATCCGAAACATCTGCGTCGGCTTTCTCCAGCTCGGACACGGCCGCCCTGGAGCGGCAGACGGAGACGGAGCAGCCGGTGACCCTCGCAGAGATTTGGAACGAAAACCACCGGAGAACGAGTGGCGATTGGGTTCGCAAAAATGGTTACAAAAGGGTCTGTATATTGGCTCTACTTTGGGACTTCCCCCTAAGGACTCTTCCTCCCCAGGTTTGCCTGCAATTCCCGGATGACTATCTGCCCCACAGCAATGCCATTAGTGTGGGCCTCAGGGAGCTACTTGCGCCGGAGGACGTGAAGGTCTTCATCCTGGCGGACACCACCTACGGAAGCTGCTGCGTGGACGAGATTGCCGCTGCCCATGTGGATGCGGACAGTGCGATTCACTTCGGGAATGCCTGCCGCAGCAGAGCCACCCGCTTGCCGGTACTCTATCTTTATCCAGAGTTGCTGCTAGATGTGGATCTCCTCCTCAGCAAACTGGAAAGTCTGCGTGGGGAGTGCACAGATCGGCAGGTGTGCATTTACCTGGACATTGGCTACCAACATCTCCACGGTGAACAGCTGCAGACACAGCTAGTTGAGGCCCTGCAGCCGAAGGATCTCATCCTAGAGCTGTTTCCGCCCACTGAGGGTGAGTCAACGGCCTCCAAGGAGAATTCCAGCCTCGAGCGGATTTGCATTTTCATCGGCGCCGATAACCAGCGATTCGCCAATCTTTCCCTGACCGCTCCAGCCGCTGTTCAATGGCACATCTACGATGGTGCCGCTGCCAGTCTCAGCTCCAAGAATCCCCTCACGGCGCAGTTCATCCGGCGTCGCTATTTCCATATCGAAAAATGCAAGGATGCACAAACCCTAGGCCTGATAGTGGCCACTCTTTCGGCTGAGGGATACCTAGATGTGGTGGCCCGCCTTCAAACAATGGCCAAGGGCAGGGGCATTAAGACGCAGCTAATTTCCGTGGGCAGGATCAATCCCGCCAAGTTGGCCAACTTCCTGGAGATAGATTGCTTTGTCCTGATCGGTTGCCCCTTCAACAATATGTACGACTCCAAGGAGTACTACAAGCCCATTGTTTCCGTCTTCGAGGCAGAGATGGCCTTGAATCCCGCCTGGCACATGAGATATCCCGAAGCCTATGTCACGGACTTCAAGCAACTTCTGCCGGAAGGGCGCAGCTTCCTGCCCTTTGATGTGGCAGCCATACCAGAGCACGACGTCAGCTTGGTCAGCGGAAGGCTGAGGGGAGTGGTTAACGATTCCCTGGAAACGGCAGGAGATCCCGCTTCCCTGGCCCTGGCCACACAAGCGAAAATGTCCCTAATGACCACGGACACAGGACTCGCCTTCGAGGACCGCACCTGGCAGGGACTGGACCCTGCCCTGGGCCAGACGGAGCCCGCACAGTTGAAACAGGGTCTAAGCGGCATTCCCATTAACTACACACATCAATAAAGGGCCACAACTAGTTATTTAACTTTTGGTATTATCGGTTTACTGATCCTCTGCGGGCGAAATTTTCTTTTGAATTAAACTACAATGTCCAACAATAGTGGGGAGGTGAAACTTCTTAGACCCTCAGCCAGTACATGGAGGAGCGGATTCTGTTGTAGTCGGGCAGGTTCTCAACGGGACCCACGGCAGCGACGGCCGGGCACCGATCGTAGATGTACTTCATGGCCACGTCACGCACGTTGCCAACGCTCACGGCATCGATGCGCTGCTCCAGTTCGTGCAGTGGGATGCGACGGTTGTAGCACAGGATCTGGCGGCCAATGTCCTCGCAGATGGGTGTGGTGCCGTCCAGCTGCAGCAGCATGTTGGTCTTCAGCAGGTTCTTGGCGCGCTCAACCTCGGCCTCGGTGACCATTGTGCACAGGCGCATCCACTCGGTCTGCACGTTGAACAGCATATCCTGCAGGAGTTAGCAAGAAGGTTAGCCAAATTCGATACAAAATATAATTAAATTAAACATTTGAAACAATCCGTTTTTTAAAGTCATCAAGATTTGCCATAGTAGGTTAAATATTTCATGATTTTGTACTCTTTGTTAGTTAATTAATAACTCATTTCAAACTATATTACGAATAAATCAATTTTTAATAGAATCGCCAACCAATATGTTTGCAAATTAATCCAAAGTATAGTTTCTATTACAACTATTTAACCAACTTTTCTATACACAAACCTAGTCTTTAGAATTCAATACTCACCTCACACTGCAGAGGATCGCATACGAAGTAAATGCCCCAGAGACCGGTGTCCTTGTAGCAGGTGTTGAACGACTGGAAGCTGTGGCATAGATCTGCAGGGGAAAAAGAGCCATTCATTTTCATATCCCCATGGTCTCTCAGGTTTACTCACTGTCCTCAGCGCTGGCACGGGCCAGGTTGGAGGCGTTGTTGGCGCCACCGCCCTGGGAACGATCCCAAGCACCCACCAGGGTGTTGGCCACCATCAGGGGGATGTTGTCCTGGTCGGTCCAGCCGCATCCCTCGACGGCGATGGCCACATGGGCCAGGGGCAGGGAGTCGTCGCGCACGCGCACTTCGGAGCCGGTGAAGCGGCAGGGAGTCACATCCGGTGGCAGAACGCTGGCCTCGAGGCCACCCAAGCTACCGCAGGCCAGCTTGACCAACTCATCGTGCTTGACACCGCCGGCGGCGGCCAGAACGATGCGCGAAGCCTTGTAGTGGGTCTGAATATAGTCGGTCAGATCGGATTTGCCAATGGACCTAAAGGAACATAGAATTTTAATAGGTTGAGGGTGATTGTTTTAAATGGTCGATTGAAACACGCACTGAATGTTCTTGGTGGGTCCCAAGATGGTCTGGCCCAAGGGAGTACCCTGGTAGGCGGTGGCATGCAGATGGTCAAAGACCACCTCCTGCAGGTTGCTCTCCACTTCCTGCATCTCGCGCAGAATCACAGAACGCTCGCGAGCAATCTCGGACTCGCCCAGCTTGGAGTTCTGGATGATGTCGGCCAGGATTTCGACGGCCTTGGGCACATCCTTGGACAAGCACTTGGCGTAGAAGACGGTCTGCTCCCGAGAGGTGTAGGCATTCAAGTGGGCGCCCAAGTTCTCCACCTCCAGTTCCAGGTCGGTTTGCGAGCGTTTGGCAGTGCCCTAAAAGAGGGTGAAAAAGGGATTATACGGTTTTCGAGGAGAAGGCTGGTGTTCCCACCTTGAAGGCCATGTGCTCCAGGAAGTGGGCCACTCCGTTGTTCTTCTCGTTCTCGGAACGCGAGCCCGCATCGATCCAAAGGCCCACGGTGGCGGTGGAGGCGCCGGAATCCTCGCTGGCCACGCGGAGACCATTGTCCAGCTTGGTCACCTGGGTGGCGGGGATGTTCAGTAGGGTCTTCTGCAGGGTAGCCGCCGACTTGTAGCGCTGTAAGATCAGGAAAATGGGGCAAACTTTAGCCAAAAGTTAAGTAAAACATGCACATAACCTCAAAGTGTTTGCAAGGGGTTTTTTAAACAAAATTCTTTGCTATTCTGCAAAATAACTTGCTGGCTTATAAGCCCCTTGCTAAAATGAGTTTATTTGAGCATATAAGTACAAATGTTAACCAATAACACAGCCAGAAACACAATAGTTTACAATTACGTAATTTAAATCCTGGGAGCGTAATCATTATATTGGTTGCCTGGACTTACCTTGATCATGTCAACGCCCCGCATGAAGGTGCGCATATTCTGCGTCACGCCAAGAACTCGCAACGCCATCGTTCAGTTAAATCGTTCAATAGCCTATTAACTAAAAAATTATAAAGACTTTTCGTCTTTCCGCGGCGCTGATGAAAAATTCACACACACACACACAGATGCACCTGCACTACGCAAAGTTGGCTGCGGCAAAACAGCTGTTAGCTGTTGGTGGAAAAAAACGAAGGTGTGCACACACTGTTTTCAAAGGCAACAAATTTTTACCAGAACTGGTTTGGAGCGGCTTCTAACGATAAAAACATTTAATTTGGATAGCTAACGCAAAAGTTTTGGCCGGCATTTGTAGCTTGGCCTACTCCTTACAAAATGGCGGGCAACTTTTGGCAGAGCTCGCACTCGCAGCAGTGGATTCTGGACAAACAGGATCTGCTTCGGGAGCGTCAGCACGATTTGTTGGCTCTTAACGAGGATGAATACCAAAAGGTGTTTATATTCTTTGCCAACGTGATCCAGGTGCTGGGCGAGCAGCTAAAACTAAGGCAACAAGTCATCGCCACCGCCACGGTGTACTTTAAGCGATTCTACGCGAGGAACTCTCTGAAAAACATCGATCCCCTGCTACTGGCGCCCACCTGCATCCTGCTGGCCTCCAAAGTGGAGGAGTTTGGGGTCATATCGAATTCCCGGCTGATTTCGATCTGCCAGTCGGCTATCAAGACCAAGTTCAGCTATGCGTATGCTCAGGAGTTCCCCTACCGCACGAACCACATTTTGGAGTGCGAGTTTTACCTACTGGAGAACCTGGATTGTTGCTTGATCGTCTACCAGCCGTACAGACCGCTCCTCCAATTGGTCCAGGACATGGGCCAGGAGGACCAGTTGCTCACCCTGAGCTGGCGCATTGTCAACGATTCCCTGCGCACCGATGTCTGCCTGCTGTATCCTCCCTATCAGGTGCGTGATCATGACCAGTTATCTAGCATCTTCGCATCTCACAAGGTCTTTGTTTTTAGATCGCCATTGCATGCCTGCAGATCGCCTGCGTTATTCTGCAAAAGGACGCCACGAAACAGTGGTTCGCTGAGCTGAATGTGGATCTGGATAAGGTCCAGGAGATCGTGCGCGCCATTGTCAATCTGTACGAGTTGTGGAAGGACTGGAAGGAGAAGGACGAGATACAGATGCTGCTGTCCAAGATCCCCAAGCCAAAACCACCGCCACAGCGCTGAAAACACCTCATATTTTTTGTACTATTAGATTAAATGCCCCACTTATTTTAATTATTTATGCCGATTAAAAGGTGGTTTGACAAATCCACTAAATCTCTAGAAATACATATTGTTGTTTATAAGTACTTTCTGATTTTATTGTTCGTTTATATTCTATTTCAGCATTTATTTTCGCCTGTTAAGTAACAACTCTATTTGCTGAAAATTTGTTTGCTTTAATTGTGTTTGTTAAAAATCTTTAACTGCTCTTTCTATACCACATTCTTAAATTAAAATCTTGTACATCTCTCATATAGTAAAATTAGGATGAGGCTTTACAGATACTTGGCCTGACCTCTGGAGAACTTGGTGTTCAGTATCTTGGCTTTGTCCACAATCTGCTTGGTTTGGTTCTTGTCGATTTTGTTGAGTTTTAAGTCCACATCCCTGCTAAAGGGTCTTCGTTCAGGCTTCGAGCCCGAGGCAGCCAGTTCCTTTTCCTTAGATTACAACATTTTTATACTATATTATGGTTTATGGTATTATTTTAATGCTCACCTTTTCCCTTTGTTCCTTTCTTAGTTTTTTCTGATGCAACTCGACTAGGGACTCCTCGCGCTTGTGCTTCTTTTTGTGCTTTTTGGCCATGCTCTCCTGTTCGTCATCACGCTGTTGTTCGTATTTAAGCTGGGCCATCTGCTCTAGTTCCTTGGAGCTGAGCGACTTTGGACCCGATGCAGCAGCAGCAGCTTCACTCTGCGGTGTTTTCGTCCAGGAGGATCGATCGCTGAAGTCGGGTCGCTCTTTCCCCTGGTGAAAAGTGCGCTTCATATTGCTCAGGGCAGCAAGACCGCTTTTTAATCCCACATCCGGCAGCTCCAGCATCCACTCTTCGCGGACATCCTGGTCTGTCGATGTACCCACTCCTCCTCCCTCCAGAGCAGCCAGTTTGAGGGTCAAAGCACGTTCCTCCAGTGCCACTTGGCTTGCGTTTGGGAGTGGGCCAAAGGTGCCAGCTAGATCATCATCATCGTCATCAGCAATTGCAGTCTTTTCCGGGGCCACATTGCCTGGCAGGATGGGTCCTATTATGGCTTGTGGTTGGGGTTCCAGTTGCTCCTCCGCTTGACTAAGTTTCCTCAAATGCGGTGGCAGGGCAGGGCCGAACGCATCTTCGGTATTTGAAGCCCTTTCAGGTGCTGTTACATTCACAAAAGCAGGCGGTTTCGGATACGACACTGGCTGCTCCTCCTCATGTCTGCTGCGCTTTTTCTCCTTGTGGCGACGCTTCTCCTTCTTGTGTTTCTTGGACTTCTTCTTTTTGGACTTGTCCACATCCTTGCTGTGCTTCTTGTGCTTTCGTTTCCGGTGTCTTTCGTCGCTGGAGGAGCTGCTGTCACTACTGCTGTCGTCGCTGGACATAATCTTTAAAAGAAAATAAATAATAAAGGGTTTTACACATGATCTATACACATTTCCCATGAAACAGAACCTTGAAATATAGAATGTCGCCTCCAACTATGCCCAAGCCAATCGAAATCACTCATTGTTTGGCTTCGTTTCGCTCTGAGATCCCCAAAAAAAACTCAGTTCTTTGGCTTGGGCTATACATATATTGCAGTTAACAACTTTAAAGCTTAAAATGATATAACGAAATGCGGTTGGATGGATAAATTGGCAGCCAGGAAGAAACCTAAACAGCGAATGTTTTCTGAGCCTTGCGGTAGCTGTAGACCAGGGACTTGAGAATGCCCGCACTGGCTATGTTTTTGATCGATTGAGTGACACTGCTGCGCCAAACGATGTCGTTGACGGATGCCTGCAGCACCTCCGGAAGTTGAGAGGCCACGGAGAGGTGATCCACCACCTCGGTGTAGTCACCGCGACAGGCGGCATTCCGCTGCAAGCGTTTTTTCAGCTCCCCGGGTAACTTTTGTAAGTGTTGAGCGCTGGCTGTCGAGGATTTATCCTGCTCGAATAGTATGGTTGGCTTCCGGCTTCCTGGCTCCTGGCCATTCATATTGACAGCCACAAACTTGGAGAGTTTCCCCAACGAGGGTTGGTACAGTGCAAAGAAGTCTTTGACTTGCGGGTTAACGATGTTATGCACCTTCTGCTTGTTCTCCCCGAAGATCATGCGGAAATCCCCTTTGTAACTCAGCCCAGCGATGGTGTGAAACAGTCCGTAGGCGGTGAACTTCTCCGGTAACAGTAGCAGAGCTACTTGCAGAGCAGACAAAAGATTCTTGTCCAGTGCCGCTTTTAGATGAGGATTATCTGAGGGATTCACCAGATCCGTCACGGGTTTATGGAGCCTCCCAGCCAAATATAGATGCCGCCAGTCTAGTAGATCCTCCAGCAGCTGTTCCTGCGACACCACGCCGTACTTTATGGTGAGACCCACATCCGCCAGTGGAACCAAGGTGTTGCAATAAACGCCGGCACCCAAACGTTCCTGGTAGTTGGCTACAAAGCGCGGTCCCAGGCGTCCCAGAGCAGAATAATGGCCTGGATGACGATGCAGGTTCTCCGCGTGAAATCCCTGGGCATCCCGGACGCAGAAAACCAGATCTACAACGCTTCCCGGCGCCGGACGGTACTCATTTCCATTGCCCAGTTTTTCATAGCCTTCCTGTTGTTTCACCCCGGATCCATAGGCGAACATATAGCTGACGCTGCCCAGGGGAAATCGCGCCACCGTGCGCCTGTACAGATCCAGCATCTTGGGAAGGGGTATATATCTAAAACAGACTTAACTTAGGCTTAATAATTACTTTTCTAGCTCGTAACTCCGTTTCTTCTTGTGAAGTTTCTGCTTCTTCTTTCTGCCAGCTGCATTTTGCCGGTGGGCTTAGGTGTGTGCACACTGAAAATCAGCTGGCGGTCAATTCATAAAATAGTTGGTTCGCCTTTTTTTAAATTGTTGGGTGAAAAAAATAAAGTTTTGTTTTGTTTAAATAATGCAATAAAAAAGTATAATAATAAAAGAACACTTAATATGTCGTTTTAAATTTGGCTCCCTTTTACAGTGTTAGTGCTGAAAAGTGTTCAGCTGGCAAAAGTAGCTACTTTTAGCTTAGCGATAAAAGGGCTAGTAATAGCTAAATATTTGTTTAGAAATACGGGGAAAAATGGTTAATATGAAAGGTATTGTAGAAAATATTTGGGATTAAATAGGAAAATATGATCAGTGTAGGCTTTGTCAGTATTCAAACATCACGAGATCATCATTCCAAAATTTTTAAATACGAAAGACTGGGTTATTTTTTTTATCGTGCGGTCAGCGCCGTGTAGTGCTGTATATCGATCAAATTTTGCCGCCGGTAGTGTTGTCAAACTCCAAATTCTAGCTGTTGTTATTCCATTCTCGAAAGAAGGAGAGAAACACGCACATTTTCTACATAGAACGAAAAAAAAATTGTACGGAAAGAACACAAAACAATCAAAAAATAAACAGACATGCCGCGACCCACGAAAAGAGCTCATGTGGACAAGGAGGATCAGGCCCAAGCAGATCAGCCGGAGGAGCAATGTGCCTCCGAAGACATTGGGGCATTCACAAACGTGGGTGGAATTTCTATATTTACTCTTATTCTTATCACTAATCATTTGGAGCTGATTTTGCAGCAAGCTTTCAAGAACGTGGTGGTCGCCACTAGGGCCGCCAATGCCTTTCCCCAGGGAACCGCCCGCTCCCTTTATTTCAGCTACCCGGGCTACGCACGTGCCATGGACGACATGTCCCAACGAGTGGTCGGGCTCATCGGAAATGTGCTGCAGGCCAAGGAGATCAAGGGCGACATAAAGAAGTAAGGATTTGCGGAAGACCGTGGTATATATTTGTATACTTTGTGATAGCGCTAAATGGCTTTCATCATTAGTTACAATATGTACAGACTTGTACACTTATATACTTCCACTAGTAGCCACATAAGCTCTGAAGTAAAAATTTAACTGACTTGTATAATATAGTCCTAATTTTATCAACTTTCTCTTAAACAGGCGACAACTGGAAGAACAGTTTGAGATGGTGCAGGAATGCAATGACATGTTGTTCGAGCGCATTACCACCAACCTGGACATCAAGAGCGGTCTGCGCAGGAATCCCCAACAGGTGTTGGAGGCCCAGGTGGACGTGATGAGCAACTCCACGCACGCAGCACCACCAGTTGCTTCTCCACAAACTCAGGAAACTTCGAAAGCGGGCAGCTGGAACAGAACGACAGGAACGCCGCAACGCAGCATGGTTTCCGCTCGTCTCTTCACAGCCAAAAACATTGTTCGCCCGCAGACGCAGTTTAAGGAGCCTGTGGACAACAGTTCGCAAAGTCCGTTCGTTCCCAGGCTCAAGGAGAAACCCAACTCGCTGAAGCCGTTGGCCCTTTTGCCCGAATACGATGATGCAGGCAATGTCCAGTCCTATCTGCATCCATACGAGTTTGAGCTGCTTAAATTTCAGGCTCCACCGGAGCAACTGCAAAAGCAGAAGCCAGTGCTACCAGCTCTCATGGCAGACACTGAACTGATGGTGGTGGACACGGTTGAGAAGCTGCAACAGGCCTTGGAGGAACTGAGGCAAGCGCCACAGATCGCCATCGATGTGGAGCACCACTCCTATCGCACCTTCATGGGCATCACTTGCCTGGTCCAAATGTCCACTCGCTCCAAAGATTATATTTTTGATACCCTAACCTTGCGGGATGACATGCATGTACTGAATCTGGTTCTCACCGACCCCAAGAAGCTGAAGATCCTGCACGGCGCCGATTTGGACATTGAGTGGCTGCAGCGGGACCTATCGTTGTACATCGTCAACATGTTCGACACACATCGGGCAGCCAAGGCTTTAAATTTGGCCAGGTTATCATTGGCCTTCCTGCTGAAGCACTACCTGGATTTGGATGTGGACAAGAGCTTGCAACTGGCCGATTGGCGGATGAGGCCGTTACCACAGCAACTGGTGGACTATGCCCGCCAGGATACCCACTTTCTGATATACGTTTACGAACGGATGACCAACGATTTGCTACAGCAGCAAGCGGAACCGGGCTTGCTGGGTAGCGTCTATCAAATGAGCACGGAAGTGTGCAAGAAGCGGTATAGCAAGCCGCACATTGGACCGGAATCCCACATGGATTTGGTGCGGAAAACGAAGCGTTCTTTCGACAATCGCCAGTTGCATGCGCTTCGCGGAATCTTCGAGTGGCGCGATGCGACGGCGCGGTCGGAGGACGAGAGCTATGGCTACGTTCTACCCAACCACATGATGCTCCAAATCGCCGAGAGTCTACCAAGGGAGATGCAGGGCATTTTGGCCTGCTGCAATCCTATCCCGCCGCTGGTGCGCCAGCAACTACACACGCTCCACCAGATCGTCCTCAAGGCGCGCGATCAGCCTCTGGTCAAAGTGAGTTTTCCAGCGTTTTCAAGCAGCGCATGCAACTCTCTAAACGTCAATGCCTATTCCGAAATTTTTTCATTATCCATTAATTGTAACTAAAGTTGAAATGAAAAGCTTAGAATAACTTCAAGGCATGGGTTAAATCATTTCCTATCCACAGGAGGTCGAATTAATAGTTAAAAAACATGAGGTTATCTACTATAAAATAATGTTGGGGCGGAAATTGATTTTAAAATTTAATAGTTACCATTTAATCTAATAGCTATTAGGATATTTTTGGGTGCTTACAAATTAACCATGCATTCTATTTCAGCCAATTTTAGAGGCCCGCAGTAGTACACAGGCATCGCTGCCGCCTTCGACCAAAGACTTCAGCAGCAAGCTCTACTGTCCGCATGACTTCTCGCATCAGGAGGAAGTCCGCGATGATCTGCCCACGCTGTTAAAACGCAGTTCTACCTCAGGGAAACTAGAGCTGCCCAGAGAGGAGGATGTTCCTAAGGAAGATCTCTCCATTGTGGCACCAGCAATGGCTTTGTTCGACAAGCCCGCCAAACCAACTCAAGAAGAGGAGCTGCGCTGGGCCCATCTTCGCAAGGAGAGCCAGACCCTCCGATTGCCCTACAAACGCTATCTTGCCATCCTGCCGCTGATGGAGCAGCTGAAGGCGGATCAGAACGCCAGGGAGCGCAGTGAGCTGCTCAAGAGGCGCTTGTGTCCGGCAGCACCAGCTCCGGAGCAAAATATAAAACTGGAAGCACATACCGTCAAACAAGAGGCGGATGACATGTACGCTGTCCCTCTAAAGGAACACCTGAAACGCAAGCACCAAACGAGCAACAAAACGGATACGGATCAGCAGCCAACTGTCAATAAGAAACCCCGCAAGGATGAGAATTCACAGCCTAGAGTCGAACAACAACCGACGGTGAAGGTGGAAACCGCAACAACAGTTCAACGGGTTCCAGATCATAGCGATGACGAAGTCGTAGAGGTTCCAATAGAAAGACAGTCCGCAGAGCAAACGAAACCTTCTCCAGCACAGATTAAGCGGCAGCAGAAGAACAAACAATTTCAGCGGGGTTTTAAGGCCAAGAATCGAGGAAATCATCCGCAGAGCTCAAGTCAGCAAGTTCCGCAGATTCCAAAGCCCAAGGCTGAAGGTAACTTTGACTACAAAAACGTGGACTTCCGGCAATTCAAGGGCGGAGCGCAAAGAGCCCGAGGAACAGAAATCAAACATCAAATGCGCGGCAAGGTAAGACTAGCTATTATTTATTTTCAGCATTTTGAAACTCTCATAAACATTTTAATTCTTAAATTATCTGATAATAAACATAAAACTGATATTTTTTTTTTAGAACCGTCCCAACAACCGCAACAACAAGCAGTTCAACAAGTTATTTACATTTAGTAATGTTAGGAAAGAAGGAAAGAAATAAACTGCAACAATAACGATAATCTTAAATATATATATATATATGAGATATATATATTTAAGATGTGGACTCAATAGAAATTAAAAAAAAAACACCAAAAGTGAATAAGACAAGTGTTTATTTCTGATTGTTTATACACTTTATTGATATGTTACAAAACTAAAATTTTGCAATTTTTCTAAAATATTACCTATTAAATAACAAACGTAATTATGCATAAAACTATACTATCGGATATGTTACGGTACGGTTTTAAGATCTAACGATTTTTGGGAATAGATAACTAAGCTGAAAAATATGAAAAAAATAAAAGTAGAACATCATGGGATTTGTCATGATAATGGGAGTCATTAAAGTGTCACATTTCAATGTCTAAAATTATGAAATGGATGGCATCGAAATTTTTTAAATTATCTATTTAACTTTTTGCTCTTATATGGGGAAATTGTTAACCTATTTAAAATCAATAACGTTCAAGATAACGTAAAAAAAACTTCGAAAAGTTTTTCCTGTCGTAACAGGAAAATGTGAAGGAGCTGAATATTTAATGGTTTCAAAGGGGATATTGACAGCCGTTAAAGGAAAGCATTGACTAAAATTATTAGAATAGTTTCTAGCTACTTTTAGCTAACTTCTTAAGTAGGAAGTGGAAAGTGAGTTCCGGAAGCTCTATTCAGGATTAACAACCATTTTAGCCTTAATCTCAAGCTTGAACTACAGAGTTTTGAACATTTTATCGCCTTCGATGTCCATGCAGTGCTCCACAACCGCATAGACGACCAGAAGTCGCCGCTCCACTCCTTTTTTATGTTTATCGGTGATAAGTGGATAGAGGGCATCCTGCTTGGACAGCCGATCGACGATTTCCGTCAGCACGCCGCCTGAGAAAACTTGCAGGCGATCCCACGTGGACTTTCGCAAGCTGAAGGTATATATGTTAATATTTAGGACTTTAAAAGTGGTTAGGGACTTACAGGCAGCATTGGTAAAGGGGCGCCAGGATATCTAAGTGATCCTTATTTGGGTTGCCGAAAGCCTTTCCATTATCGATGAGCACCACGCGCTCCTCACGCGTCTCATAGTGATGGCGATCCCCATTCTGGATGAGATAATCGAAAATGGCCACATCTATGAGGTCCAGCAGGCGAATGGTTTCCATTTTGTTCTTCAATGACCTGAAAAGGGAATGTTATTTTTAGTTCAACTTAAAAACGTATTTTCTTTGGCATGTAGATCGCAACTTACTTGCAGTAGGTCATGTCGTCTTCCCATGGCGCCCGCTTGTCTTCCTTGTAGGTTCGCTGCCACGGAGACCGCCGCTTGGCCAACGTTCCCGGAACGATATAGATGAGTACGCCCTCGATGTTGTGCTTCTCGTCCCCACAGACGGTCTCCTCCTCGTTGCAGTAGTGACACTTTCCGAACAGGCAGTACGTTTCCTTGCCCTCCTCGTCCGTTTCGATGTTTATGGTTTGCTGGAGTTCCTGGTCACCGTTCGCGTAGATCTCCTTCTTTAAGTTCACCACTCGACCCACAACGATGGGCGTCCATCGAAAGTCGAGCACGGCGCCCAGATAGAAGGCATATACCTCGGCAGTGTGCCGATCCTTGCCGCTGTACACCATTCCATCGATGACCTCATCACGCGGATACCATTGCGGCTTAAAGATCACCTTTTGTTGCTGTGACAGCTTCATCAGCAGCTTCAGCTGGGTGCCGCGACCCAGATTGCTCACCCTGGTGATCGGTTCACGGCGCATTGTTTCCAAGAGCTGGCCCATCGATGAGTCGTACAAGGGATAAACCTCGTTTTCATGCGGCCACTAAATGGAGGGTAAGGAAAAGAAAATTAAGGAATATATAAGCAAGTTTAAGGCTTATGATCACAGCAAATGGTCAACAATAATGTTTAATTAAAAATGTATCGTTCTAATTGGATCTGACACCTGGTTATGAAAAGCAAAGATGATAAAATTCTGCTTTTTGCATAAGCAAACACGCAATTTAAGTCAATGCAACTTTGCATAAAACGCAAAGCAACATGCGTTAGTGGTTACTCAGTGATAAGATATTCTGTTTCTGTTTCTGGCCCCTGAACCCATTGACTCACCCAGTTGGCAATGTCCCAGAGGACACTGGCGTTCTCGTAGGGCGCCGCCTTGTAGTTCTTAAGCAGCTTGTTGCGGAACATAAAGAAGCGCGGATTGCGATTGAGGTAGTTGGGCTTCAGGTGGCGCATCTTGTGCCGGATCATGTTCTCCAGCGCACGAACGCTGGCCAAATGGCCCTCCTCGGCGCTCAGATAGTACATGAAGTAGAAGTTGGCACCAAGCACCAGGCCCAGAAGGCTGGCCACGATTCCCGCGATGATGACGCTGCGCTTGTTCATCCTGCAGCCTGGGCGTTAGCCTATTTTTAATATTACGTATACGCAGCGGCAGCAGCAGCACTGGCAAATTGCTCAATTCTAGCCGAAATGTTGATATGACCGGGCTGCCGCAGTGGCATGTTGCTGTTGTTGCGGACTTTCGTGCTATTGTTGCTGTTTTACATGCAATATCTGCTATAGTTTTTGCAATTGTTGCTGCTGCTCTGGCAGTTGTTGTAGTTTCTGTTAATGTTGCCCTTCCTTTTAATTTTTTTTTTTTTTTTGGCAGACATCGGCTAACAACTGTTTGCATCAGTCCATTGTTTTGCAAATTAATTGTGTTCGCATCTAAAACATGTATACATTAATTAAATTGTCAGCACTAGAGTAGTAGTCCTGTTCCGGGTTCTAACTTATTTTGCTTACCAACTGCAACAAGTTAATCAGATCCGATCGATTGTTTACAGACGTTGACCCCATTAACACTCGAATTCTTGGCAAATAGCATCGTCTGGTAGAGATTATTTAATTTCTGGTTCTGGGCGTGAGGTGTGTCTTCTCATCGAACTGCAACTAGTTAATCTTAATTGATATGACCCAAATTTGAACTCATTAAAATGTTAATGGAGAAGTTTGGTAGTGAATTAACTAAATGTACGGCAAGTTGATGGATTAGTAACTTAAAGTACTTTGTTTTGGCTAGGATTACGTCGTATTTTGTATGTGATTAACTAATTCTGATGACTAGAACATTAACGTCTAATCAGAACTTAATAGGGCTAATGGTAGCTCAAGCTATAAATGCACATATCCGATCCGGGATATCATCGAAAACCTATAAGAGATGAAGTAAAATGTCCTGTTTCTGGCACAAATGCATTTCTTTAAGTCTTACCCGATTGTTTACAAGCGTAAAGTGGCCCCTTTCGGATTCTTGGATTCTTGGCAGCCACAATGGCCCAATAAATCGTGTGCTTCCTCTTCTGCTGCTGCTTTAATTGGCCGCCTCCTCGTTTTTAGCCAACATCCACCGGTCCAACCACACGCATTCAAAAACGGAAATCTTCTGCGGTCGCCGATAAAAACAAAGCACTTAGTTTGCCTCTTGTTTTGGGTGATTCGTGTATAAATAGCTTTTGTTTATGCCGATGAAATTGGGGGGAAAACATGCGTTTTTCGCCGCAGTAGTAAAATAAAGGAAAATCAAAACAAAAAGAGAAGCAAGAAGTAAACAAAAATCAGCTGATGCAAGCAGTTGTGCTCCAGCCCTGGCTAAACTGCTGTATCTGACAGTCTGGCAGCACCGGCTGTGCCCGCCCGATATACTTTCAAAAAATGTTTGTTTGTATTCGTTTTAAAGCAGAGAGAAAACCCTTCAAATGTCATTTGTTAAGTTAATCAGAAAAGTTCATCAGCCAACAAACGAAGCGCCAGCTAAAGGTCAAGGCAGAATGTCTCGCAGGAGTCCTCCTTCTTTTCCTTTTTAACGGTAAGTGTTCAGCCTGCCACTCACACTCATTTTAGTTACTAAAAACACCCACACTTGCAAATTGCGCAGATGAGTCCATGCGTGTACACTGCAACAAAATTATTGTATACATTGTAATTCAAAATATTTTAAAACAATATATTTTGAAAAACACTAACTGGTTGTTTTTTATTTTAACTAAGATTAATTCTTATTTAATACGATTGCGAAAAAAATTAATCAAAATAAGCATATTAATATTGAAGACGCTGTATTCAAATACACACATATCGGTCTAAAGCTTAGACACAACAGTTTAAGAATGTGTAATTTATATATTTCGATTTACAAGAAATCAATTGGTAGCCCATTAATTTTATGTGATAAACCTTTTTTCAAAAGTGTGGCGTTACGTGGGGTTTGCTTAGTTATTTTTTCCATTGATGGAGTTGGATAGGAGGATTCACCTTGCCTTGGGGCTCACAGTGGAACAGAGCGCATAAACTGCGCCCACACTTCATTCGAGAGAAAGAAGAGAAGGGGACACAATGGAGTAAAAGCAGGAAAAGGATAATGTTGAGGAGCGGTATCCCTGGCCACATATGGCGCAAAATAAACCGACAAATGATAACGGCACTCGAGCAAACAACAATAAAGGATGAAAAGCACGAAAATCGAGTAAATGAAAGGAAAACGCACAAATGTGTTACCCCCCAACTCTCTTGCCACTTTCCCGCGTTTTTTTAACCCTCTTTTACCCGCCCCCGAAAATTCAAATGCCGACAGCATCCGAAACTTTTGTTGTAGGCCTGGGAAATTCAAAGTTAGTTGGCGGCCAGAAAGTAACACCCACAGTGTCGACGAATTACAATTAAAGTTGAATTTAACCCACAGCCACATTTACTAACAGAAATAAATTAAGGAAATATTGAAAAATATGTTACAAATATATAAAAAAGTTTAATATATTGGCTATATGGTCAAAAATGGGATTAAAACTTAAAATAACCTGTTAAATGGTAATGTAAGGAGCGTTTAAAAAAGAAAAAATGATTTAAATGTTTAAACATTTAATGCACAAATCAAATAAAACTGCAATTTATGATTTATATTGACTTGAAATTATTTCAACTGTACATAGTGAGTACGCAAGTGCCAGAAAATGTTTTCATTGTTTTGTGGGTTTTTGCGTTTTTTTTTTGTTTGTTTACTGTTTCATGTGGGGTGCATAACACATATTGAAGTAAGCCAATTTGTGAGTATCGTTTGTGTTGGCCAAGTTAATCATAAATGAACTTGCTGAAGAGCGAAATGCAAACGTGAAAGCAATTTAGCGCTTGAGTCTGAAGAAAAAAAATATTATCTTTGATAAAAAAAAATTATATGGTCCATATCTATTCAAACAAGTATATAATAAATTTAATTTAACTTTTTAAAATTTTTTATGACTTGAAATAACAAAATTTAGTATAAATCGAGTGTAATTTTATGACATATAAAAATGATATGTATGTATTTATTTTATAAAAAATAACTAAATGCAACAACCGTAAATTTACCATTAATATCAATTAGGAAAGCCTTTCTCTCACCGCCGACTAACCCAAGTATGACCCGGCAAATAAACAAAACTAAACAATTCAATTAGGAGGCAAATTGAGAAAAGCCAAAGGAAGTACAGTATTTAGTAATTGGGTCAGATGCCGCTAACGACCAATGACAATTACACAGAAGTCACAAATGCCCAAAGCAGACGGCTAATACGAAGGAATCAATTTTGATTCCAGAAAGAGGAATCTGAAATTAATTTGATCGTAAATGTTGTTAATGCTACGAGAAGGCTTTTTGGGATATGTCTACGATAATATAATCCACAATTAAAGCCCAATAATCTTTGGAAACATTCAGTCCGTGGAAACAAAGACTTTGGACTTGATAGAATATATTTTTTTACCTCCAAATAACTTTATAAATATTTTGTTATTAAGTAATTATTTTCTATTTATTGGCTTTTAAATAAAATAAATTGTTTATAAATCAACCAACTTGCATTGGCTATTTTAGTTAAAGTTAATTAAAAAATTACGCATACGCAACGTTGCGTATTCTTACATTTAAAACATTAAATAAGTATCCAATTGAGGGTTTTCATACATCTCGGCAAGTGTGCATTCCTTTAAGTATCATAGGCGGTCGTTAAAATACCACGAAATCTGCGCAAACATAATTTTAATTTTTATTGCCATTAACACTTACCTTTTTTAACCAAAGGCAAATAAGAGGCTGTAAAAAAATCAATTAATTTATACACCAGAACAGATGGAAAAGTTACATGCCGCGCGCTAATTGCCCATGTGCCCCAATTCCTGTTTTTGTGCCTTGTTTTTGTTTGTCGTCTCTGGATGGCGTTTTCCTTAATGGCTGCCGCTCTTATCTGGCCTCTCATGCGTTTTGTAATTAATTGGCAGACATTTTACTGCTGTGGAACGTTGTCATAGGTCGCTCAGCACGTGCTGGGCGAAAAGAGAGAGAGAGAGGTTCGACCTAATGATTAATTACAATTTAATTTGTTTGGCATTTACCCGCGCTTTGAAAGGGGGGAAGGGAATAATTCCAGGGCGGTGACAAAATGTCCACCAACCTCGCGACGGCAACATTTAAATTTCAGCAGTTGTTTGCCAGTCGTGTTATAAATTTGCCTCTCTCTTCAATTTATTTTGTTTGCTACAAATTTAATTGAATTTGTTTCACAATACAAAGGCGAAACATCTAATTAATTGTTTTTTGTTGTCTTCCCTTGTTTTGATTCCTTTTCTTATTCATTCTGTATTTTTTTGTGAGTTTGTTTGTGTTGGTTTGGCTGCCAAAAATATGCAAACTGGGACTTAAGAAAATGCCTAATGAGTCGGCCTATGAATTATGGGTAGCGCGAAATAAGCAAACAGAAGCAAATATTTTTTGGAGGGCTTAAAATCTTTAGATGTAGTAATACTTAAGAAAAATACGTAAAAGACAGCTTTAATTAAATTCTTAAAGAGTACAACATTTATTGCAGTTTTCTTGGTAAATTAAATTAAAGTTCAAAAATCTATAGACTTTTTTATTTTAGGAATTTTAAAGAAATAATTAATCTTACAGAATAGAACAGGAAAAAATGCGAAGTAAGTTAAACCAAATAATTTTCCTTAACGAATTTTTTAACACAAATCTTTGGTTGGTATTTAGTTGCTTTTAAGGAGAAAAATTATTACATATTTGATTTTGTGTCAAAGCAAATTTGTGGAGATTTCATGAGACAAATTTTGTAGGTTGTACAGACAAGTTAAAGACAAAATGTCCAACATATTTTTTGATGCCTTTTTTCCGCTTCTCGCTGGTGCAACAAAGGGACATGAAAAATGGGCAGCAATTTGGGGGTCCAACGTGAAATTAACTCATTCGTTGTGGCCTAGAATAACAAAAGACACTCGCACACACACTGGGACACACATTCACACACCTATACATAGAGCCGTAAATAGACGGCACTGAGGTCAAGCAACGTCATTTTTCAGACGGCCAAACAAAAAATAAGGGAAATAAAGTAAAAAAGGAAAATAACTTGGCTTCAAGTGCCGCCACACGGAGAATTTAATGTGTCAGAGTGTTGGGCTTGGTGTTAGTGTGTGTGTGTGTGTGGGGGTAATGTGTGTGAGTCAAAACACATGCTCTGTCAGGAGGAAAATATAAACAAACGCACCCGTAAAAGCTCCGCGCTCCTTTCAGCCCGAAAAACTATGCCACGAAAGCTTTTTGCGTAAAGCTGAGGAGCAACAGTTTTGCGAGAGAGAGTGGGTGAGCGGGTGCTGCACGGCAACACTGAACCTTTCTTCTCGGACCCCTGAACAACGCTCGCTCTCTCTCCGACTCTCCTGGGTGCTCTCTCCATCTCGGCGGAGCAACAGTTTAGGTTCCTCTCTCGCCCTTTGCGGTCCCCGGACAAAGTAGTTGTTGCTGCCGCTGCTACTGTGGGGACTTCACCTGAAAGCTATTGTTGTTGTGGAATTTGAGTCAATGAAGCAGAGAGTACACGGAGAAAAAGTACTACTAGATGTTACTTGCAGATTTCTATTTAAAGTTTCAAAAACCTGCGTGAAGCTATATCATAAAGGCATGCCAAATAATAATTTTATGTTTTTAATATCATACTACTACAGAATTCTAAAGTCATAATTTAACAAATTGGAAGCTTACCCATTAGTGACACTGTTCAACTTGTCGAATATGTAATTTTCTTAGTCTTAAAGTTTTTCTTTCAATACCCCACTAAACTATAAGATATCGAATGCAGTTGTATTTTATTTAATAAAAATGTTTAAATAAATAATTTCAAAATGAGTTTAAAAGAAAAGAAAGAGAATTATATGACCTATAATGCAATTTTTGACATATTTGTTTTAAGTGATTGAAATGTAATACTTAACCATTTAAAATTGCATTTAATTTATTAAGAATGTTTCCAATTAAAATTCTTTAACAAAAATATGGGATAATATTATTAAATGTTAATTTTTTTGAGTGCGATTTATTAAAAATTTTAAACGACACAAGGGTCTTTTATTTATTTATCTATTAATTTTTTAAAAACTCCTCACATAGAGTATGTTTTCCCTTTAAAAAAAACCAACAATATAAATATTTAAGAAACTTGTATTAAAAAAACTAAGCTCATGTAGGAATCTATACTTTTTTATTATATGTAGAGCATTTTTTTCAGTGTAGGCGTGCTGAGCAGCCCTGTCGCTGGGTG